CAATTGTACTAACCGCGCAAAACACTGCAGAATACTAACTACAAATAAAACAACAGTTTGGTGTGGTTGACTGTTTGTTCGTCTGTCTGTCACATGTTACCAATCCAAACTAGCAGGCTGCGCAAAACCGAACGCGGGAAGTGAACCACATCGCTAGGTGAATTAGGTCAGTGATTTTCTCACAGGCCCTGCTCGAGCAGCTACGGGTCGCGAGCGGTATCGTGAGCCCCAACCTGGCGAATGGAGAGCACAAGCCACAGACGATTGAAAAAAAACAAGGCGGCATGAGATGAGTTGGCCGCCTATCGTGAAATCGTCTGCAGAATCGCCACGACAATCGCTTAGGCCGACGTCATACTTTGCGAATCGAGCGAATCGCTAGCGAATCGCTCGAGTCGAGCGAATCGCTAGCGAATCGAACGATGCACCAGCGATTCGAACTAGGTGCCAGCGAATCGAACTAGGTACCAGCGAATCTTGCATAAAGCTTGAAACTAGGGTGTTAGGCACAGCAAAATTTCGGCAATGCTATGCAGTTTTGAGGGGGTTATTGGATCAGCAGATTCGATATGCTATCTCACGAAGAGCAGCAGTATCTCCTAAAACTTATCCAATACGAGTCATAGCGGTTATCATTACGAATATAACTTCATTTTTGGAGTCGTTACCATCACAATTCGATGGAAAAAGCTGTTTCGCGAATCCGCAGCGGCGTCACGTCACGTGGTGGCTTTTTACTACTTGCTCCTTCTCCCGCTAGGGTCGTAATAATGTAGTATTGTAAAGGACTACACATGAACTGGTCTAATGGTCTGTCTAAATTTTGATAAAAAGCGCTTTTTCAACCATGACTAATAATAAGATCGTGTATAGGGGTTATAGCCGCCTTCGGGGTTCTACAGAAGTTGGTCGGGTCTGTAGATAGTTGCATGTGTGCTCAAGAACTGGATGATGAAGGAAAATGAATAGTACTTTGGGCTCGTTCTTGGCTGCCTGCCCAATCTGTTAGGGAAGACTTCGTGTAGGGTATCAACAAGAGCTGAAATAGATGAATCATTATAGCTTAGTAATGCAAATTATTTAGATGTTAGCGAGTGATTTGTAAAAATTCGTATTGTTTGAGGTTGTCCGCTTTACAGCAGTGTTCTTAGCTTGTACTTTGTTATGAGAAATGTAATTTGATCTAAAAGTGTTTCTGCTGATAATTCATTTACAATATTGAAGTGTGATTCTACAGCTCAGATGAGTACGAAAAGAGGATCCTTTAAGTTTTGCTCTGGAACTACAAACTCTAGTCGGTTATCACCTGCATGGACTTGGTAGTACAGTCGATATCCGGAAGTTGGGGCAGACGTGTCACCGGAAGTGATGTGCACTTGATAGAAGTTGCGTGGATCATCTGTTGCCAGCATGTTTTGCTAATACCCAGCGATACCCACGTTGGCAACAGCTTCTATCAAGTGCACGTCACTTCCGGTGACACGCCTACCCCCACTCTCAGATATCGGGTATAATAGTGTAGTATGCGATAGATCCTCTAGACCCATACTCGCTAACGGATTAATGTGATCATGTATTTGTCTTACTAACAGAATGCGATCAAGACTGACTACTGCCGATCTCTCCAAGTATATGACCAGCCTTCATTAAAATTGTTGGCATTTTCGGACAGGATCCATTTTATTTTACGTGAGCGTGACAGATTTTCGAAATTTGCCAAGTACTGCTAAAGCTTGAACCGCAATTCTATTGCCAAAATATGTTCCAGAAATTAGTCGTATTCGGACCGCAAGGGTCACTTTGAAGCATCGCTTTTCCACTTATTCCATTGATTCAGAATTTGTTTCGCTCAACAAATAAGCGTCACCTTATTCCTGCTGTCCGCGCTCTATCCACTTTGTTAAAATGCATCACCTCCACGTACAACGCATATCGTGAAATGTTCTCACATATAGTGGCGGGCTTTTTTTTGCCTCAAGCAGCGTCAAAAGTGAAGTATTTAGAAGGGATTCTACCACAAAAATGGTTCGTCAGTTCGTTACGCCCCATGATATAATTCTAAAACTCACACGTCGGTAGCGAAGAAGTACGCACACTCTGTGAGTTTCTTGTTATCTGAAAACATGAACACTATAAGCCATTGATTACCCAGCAGATACAGTACAATGTTGAAAAAGTCTTACTGGGGGCAATCTCGTGCATAGCGGCAAGAACGAAGGGATGAGGCATCTCCACCTTCAGATCAAATGCTGAACATAATCTCTGAGTGGCTTACTCTCTTAGATTTTGCTCATGATTGATATATGTAGAGTGCTCAATCAATACCAGCCACAACCAGAAGAACAAGGAAAACTCACCTATCGTTTGAAGGATAATGTTCTCCAACTGCACAATTAGTTGCGCCGCCTCGACGTAATGCTATAATCCACTCATAAGTGGAACGGAAAATGAGGATCAGAATAATATAGATGAAATAATTTCTATAATACTCTTAAACTTATACTTTTCAAGACCCCCACACATGCGCTCAGTTTTCAATTGGCTTTTCCTTAAAAGGCACAAACCTTGTCAATATGACTCTAAGATTAAAAGCATACCATTATAACAACTTTATGGAACAAATTCGCGCCAGTCTTGTTTCCCTAACTCACCCCATGGTTCCTTCTGAGAACAAGTGCAGAACAGAAAAGACAATTGAGAAATTCATAAAAAATCAAATCCATTCACTCCGATCTAGGCCAACATCGTCACCGATTTCTTTTTCCTTTGTCTGGGGACAGTAAACAAAAACATATGGAACGAACACAGACATTGGCTTGAGTTAAGCAGAAAATTCACAACTATTTTATTAATCGAAATGAAGTGTTGTGGAGGGACGAAAAAAGAATAACCACGTTTTATTAATTATCGCATGACTTGGGTTTAGAAGACTACAAAGCAATTTTTGCATTTAATCAATAAATTGAAATGATGCCATCCGGCCAACAGAACGCTGCTGTGTTAGACCTACGAGGTCGTTGTGAACAACTCAATTTCGCAAACATTCTCAGAGGCTGCGAAAGCCAATATCAAATGATTTAACACACTTAAAACCCAATGTAACTTTCCGAAATGGTTTCATTCATATATATTGTAGGGTTCGGAGAAGTATATTATCTACCATTAAGAAAGTTTGGAAAAAAGGACTAAAGGAAAATTTTCGGAAAACTCAAGATACACGCACCGCGGCAGTATTCAGTGATAGTACATAAAACTATATGTAGATATCCAAGGCACAACCCAGGCAGAAATCCTGTGAACGACCCCCTTAGGTCTTTAGGACGGAACATTATCAAAATATAAACCTAGGGGTAGCCGGAAATTATGCCACTCCGGTGCGTGGAAATCACCCGATACGAGGAGGGATAGTAGTTTCCAAAGTTAGCTGCAGCAGCTGCACTTCTTCCGGTCCGCAGTAGGCTGTTATCTAATGCTCTCTTGCCTCATACTCTCCATTCCGCGCTCGGTCTCTCATTGTTTTAGCACAGCCGATTAGGAAGGTGAGTGAGCCCTTAACCTAAGCGTTTTCGACGGATTCTTTTCCTTTTTTCTTTACTGCCGGCCCACTTCGCACCAAATACATTGCATAATCGTGTGCAAGATATACAGCAGGTTGATTCTGGGCCATGTCTTTAAAATGTCTTGAAGCGCTTCGTGCGGTAAAAGAAACTAAACGAGTGTTGGTAAACTTCAAATAAATTATAATAAAGGGTACCAGGTAAAGGAACCAGTCCGATCTCCACTTCGCACGAGCCCTTAGGCGGAACCAAACGTCTGGGAAATATCCTCTCCCTGTACTCATCTGGTGCTACCATTATGGTCTTTTATGGGATCTTCCCAAATAGAGCTTGGTCTGGAGCGTATATTGAGTTCAAAAGACACACCATATATGTCATCACGTTTTAGTGGTATCATCACTTTTACATTATCATTCTTCACTGGATAATGATTCTATTGATAACTCGTCCATATAAACTTCAAAACGGGAACAAGCTACACAAAAATCTATGAACTATATGACTATATAAAAATATTAGCGCAATTTCGCAGTGTGCTACACCTTTTCAGTGACAGGATTTCCCAAATGAACCGCACTGATCTGTTTAAACAACACTTGCGGCTCAAAAAATAAAGATTCTTCAAATCTCTGCATTATACAACAATCACCGAAAGTTCCAAAAGCTTACATTATTCGACGGTATCGTTGGATGCCGTTCAAACTTCTTCGACCACCAAACACGCACAATGTGATCCAACTTCCTCGGACATTCCTCACTCTTTCCAGCTAAAAACAAGCACGCCGCCGCCACATCCTAAATATTTAAAAATGGGTTATTCTCGTGATCAGCCAATCCTAAACAGAATGCGTACACGATTACCAAAAAGGACACCAACCCTGTAGTCGAAGAACTTGAAAGAGTGAAAACAAAAGAATCGATGCATGTGCATTATCGCCGCACACATACATAATTGAGATCTGAAAAAGAGAGGAATCATTCACTGACGCAGACGGACACTTCAAATAAACACAGCTACAACCGCACGGCTCTAAAAAGGACTCTCACAACTCATTCAAACATTCCACGAACAGGGATTGTGATGCTCTTTAATGGTCTAAAAGGATGCACGCGACTCAAGGACGCAAAGCAGAGCACGAGCCACTACCGTAATGGAGGGTTTCTTATTAATAATGCTTCAAGAGCATGACGCTTGCTGGTATGCCTTATCGCCCTGTATAAATGGATGTCCCGAAAACTTCTGCAAACAAACATAGAAAATTTAAACAGCACTGCCCACTTCTCAAAAAGCTGAGTGATTTTGGAAGAAAAACGAAAAAAAAAACAGTAAAATGATTCCCACATTTTCCCTCGTTGATCACGAACGTTGTGATTTAACTGATCTACCATGATCTGGATGAATCTTGTCGCCTGTTGCCGATACGTCAACTCTTTTTCTGGTGTGAAGCCATTCTCCCGAATGCTTGTCGTATTCGCTGCCTGCAATCAAACTGTAATGATAATGGCAGAGTGGAAAGAAGAAATCAAAGGTAATAGTAATGTTATCCGTGAAGCCCATATTTGTCCAGTGTTAATTACGCCATTTGTTTGCAAACTTGTCAGACAGAGACACCTAAGGGAAGGCAACCGTTAGAATTCAACACAGACCTATCACGAATGTTTCACAATTTATAGTCCATCAGCCGGTTGTGCAAGCTTCATCAACCAATGTGTAGTGCGGCGCTTGGTTACTAGCCGGCACCGTGTAGCGACGACAAAAATCTCAGATCTGACTCTAATACAACCTAGAAACCAAAAAAAATAGGTAAAGGTGAGCAATGAGCTACCCGGTCGAGTTAGGAGCTCACTGGCAGTAGGCGGAGCGTACTTCAAGCAGGTGCTCAGTCAAAAAAAGCATAACTCCAATATGGAGTGTAGAAAAGCGCTGTCTGGTGTACTCCTAGCCCATTTGAAAGGAGTAGAGCCGCCTGCAGCGGTCAGAAAGCAATATGATTGAAGAAGCAAGGAAGTTCATATGCTATTGTGGGTGGGGCCTGGAGTCCAAAACCCGTAAATTTATCCAAAGCTGAAAAAAAGCGAACAGAGACCAGCGAAGGAAGATTCAAAGTAAGAGGAGGGACGGAATATGCACCGACGTGGGCGGAGCCAGGGTTAAGATTTTAAGTGTACTGTTTGATATCGCTGGACCTTAATTGACTGCATACTATCACCTAATAAAAGTAATGAAACAATAAAAAATGTGACAGGAATCGAAACAGTATCAGCAAGAAAAAGGAACACATTGTTGGAAACAGTGAATACAAGCCCTAAGCTTTGTGGTTATATCGCAACTGAGATGTTATTTTATTGAATGCTAACAAATGTATATGAAGCTGCGACTGCTGTTTTTACAAAAGGATCTAAACTAAGTACTATTTCAATTGAAATCTTACATGGACATGTTATTCGTTACATTCGAATACATATTACTACTACAATTGCATAAAGTTCAACCCACGTCTGGTCGCCCTTCACCAGAGCTAGTTGCAATTTTTAGAGGTGTCGATTTGGGGTTCAGCAGAGGAATTGCTAAGAAGATCTACCCTAAGTGGGGAGGACATTTATGGGAGTTGAGGGGCCGCCCTTTTCGTAAAGAGGACTGTTTTGACTGGTTGGGAATTTTTTTTTACATTTTCAATAAAAATGCATGGAATGAGCAATTGTGAATTGCCTCATATTCGCTTCAGCAGTCAACTGTCATATACTCCACCACACTCCCTCGTGGTTCACAGTACTTTTAAAGAAAACTTCGAGCGATGACATCGCAGTTCACGTGAGATGCGTGAGGGGTCCATGTGACAGTATGGTAAAATTTCCGGAAGCCTTCTCGACGGCTGGCCTTAATAAAAACATTAGAAAATGCCAATCACTGAGATAAC